GAAAGTATAAAAAGCAAACTACCTCGAATTATTAAAGGCAGCTTAAAATACACTGACTGCTCAAAGGTGAATAAAGGCACAGTTGCTGGAAACTATTTCACAGACAGAGAGATTTGTAAACTCTACCACAACCACCACTACTACTGAATGAAAAAGCAAGACTTGGTGCCTCTTTTAAGGAGCCTCTCGTTTGATTTCCTGATCTTGTCAGTTACAGACAAAAGTTGATATGTGACCATTTCTTACGATAGGCAAATAGGGAATAGGTCTTTATAATACAAATGTAAAACCTCTGGCTTATTACATAGAAGTTAATCGATAGTATTTAATACAATATGACCTGCACTTTTGCCGGCATTCGAGAAGTACTGCAACATCTGTTGCGTAAACCAGCGTTCACGCAAACCAGCATTCACGTTAACCAAACTAGTTTTCTGTTATCGAGCTATCACTGTATATGTATATTTTAATATATTTTAACTTGATATAATATATAATTTTATAATGATACAAAAATTCGTGAAATAATCAATACTAAGCACATTGTATGCTGCTCCGCCTACATCGTTTATTTTTACATTAGTAATAAAGAACATCAAAATACATCTATAATCCAATATATACACATATAATAATTCATCTTAACTAATAAATAAATTTGGCCTATTTCCAAGCTAAAACATATATCAAGGGAAAAAATTTCTAAAACAATGCCATAGTGCAATTGAATTACTTTAAGAGGTACGGTCTAACTGCTAGTACAATGAGAATGGTGCAATAAAAACACAATCACTTACTTAACGACCACCGTAAAGTTAATTACAAGAGACTGCTTAAATGCTAAGAGCCATTATATTCAAGTTCAATCGGTTTTTTTCAGGCAATAAACAAAATCAGTGGAACTATTAATAACGAAGGTGTACATATAAGTACATCAAGGTCAACTTTCACTCTGCTCTTTCGACCTGTCGTATCTCGTTTTCAATGTTGCAAGGTTATGGTTAAGTGCGCCTGCTCAGTCTATTTCAGGCTGAACAGCAACAACTGCGGAAAACTGATGCCAAACAAAACAATCCGATATATTACGCTGAACTACGTGCACAAATGGCTTGCCTTACAAAGCAAACGCTCAGGTGTAGGAGTGATTGCCATACCGTCATTGGTGTGGTAATTGCTCGCAGTCGCACTATGTTGGGAGTACCTGTTTTTCCGGAAGAAAACGACTAACAATTGTCGAGAGTTTGAAACCGGCATAATAACAGCTGCAAATGTCAATTACACAAAACAAATCAAGGCGTTACAAAAATAAATAAAATAAAAAAATCACAAAAAATTAAATAACAATAATTATGAGAAAATTACAATCACAACATTGTTAATAGGAAAATGTTTATGAAAAAATTATTTTCTAATGGAAAAACACCAGGAAATGCCACAAATTTAAAAAGGAAATTGCAGAGAAAACCAAAAAATTCGATAAAAGAATTCACTCTGAGACCGAAGAGAAATAAAAGAAAGGAAAAGGTTTCTTCACATGTGCATTCCATATTCATAATCATGTTCAGAATATATGTTATCATTTAGTTTTATTGTTATCTATAATTCTTTAAATGCAGTTCCAAGAAAATAATACTTTTAAGTATTAAAAAATGTCTTGATGTCACAAAAAAAAAAAAACGAAGATAAGTTTATTCGTTAAACTACTTTTGCCTATCAATGGCACTGTAGTATTTTGCAGTTTTCTGGCACAATTTTATATAGCAATAATACGCACCCATAGAGGCTTGCAGTCTGCGGGTACAGCGGCTTTAGAGTTGTATAATCTGTGCTTGGCAAATGTTATCTCAGAAATAAAGACTTAACAGTGATTAATTTTACCAGCCACGCAGTAATAACAGCACTCGTTTCAAATTGCTCAGTTGTTGTTGTTTTACATTTAAGTTTCAATTGTAAATAAAACACTGATAATTTGCATTAGACTGGAATATAAACATATATTTTTCTCTCTTTTTTTAATTAAACAAAACCTTCTACGACTAATACTTGAGAATGCAATGCAATTGCATCACACGCGAAAAATTTGGTCTATTAACTAATAGTTATAGTTGATATATACTTATAACTAGTAGTTAGTTATATGAGGTGTTGTTTGAAAAGTTTTATATCGGTATTAATTTTTTGTCGTTGCTTGTATTCTCTATTGGAGTTCAACGTAACCCTACCCGCTTTTTTCACTACTATTCCCACACTATTATCTGTGTAATAGGTAACAGAAGAGTATTAATCCATATCCCGAAATCAAGAATACCTACATTGATATACACATTGCATTTTTGTATCTTTTTCTTACATTACCACTTTAATTCTTACAAAATATAAACAAATCAGAGTAGAAGGTTTCCGATTGATGACAGAGTCCAGATTTACAATGATCAGAAAGAAAACTATTCACTCAGAATTCGTCACAGAAGGTACAATAAAGCCCTTTTTCTTGTTCAGCAATTAGACAGCACTTTAAAAGTTTCTGGACAGCTTTTATTTTCAACACCAGTATGTTCCTATTAAATTAGATATGATTCTCAAGTTGGTAATCGTCTCAACATTTAATCTCAATCTCCGGATCTAGATTAAGTTTTATAATGTGAATAGGTCATATTCATAACTTTAATAATAAGACAATACATTCAGGCAGTCTATATTAAAGGTTTTAAGAACGCGTATGTAGTGCATTTCATATTCATTCTTGATGTTCTATAAAATTTCAATTGACACTATGTGTAATATTTTTGTTTTTGTTGAAACTTATAATTTTCAACCTTGAAAAATGAATAATTTTAACACGTTCAATGTAACCTTTACGCACCTTAAACACTGATTTTATAATCGAATTATAATAAAAAGTAGAATAAAACAAATTGCAACGTTTGAATTTAAAATTAATTTTTTACAAACAAAAAAGTTCATGCATTTAAAATTAATATAATTGATTATTTACAACAAAAAAAACACTTTTTAAATAGCTTAACTATTGCATATAAATAAATTCAGATGCAAACGAGCCCTTACATAGTGTAGTATAAACATAGCATTTCAAATCTCACAACTTTTAAATAAATAATCAGAAAACTGTTCTAAGTCCACAGTGATGTTTACTATACGAGTATATATGTTAAAAATTTCTACTTAAATAATTTTATTTACATGTTTGAGTGCTGATTATCTGCAAATAGCGTTTTCATTTTTGTTATAATGTATATATATATATATATCTATATAAACGACATTCCACAAATGTTAGAAATAACTGTATAATGAACTGGCGGAGGTGTGGGAGGTTTATTATCTTTGGAATATAATTTTTTCATTAATACGTGTTTTTTGGTGGATGCTGTGAAACAGCAGTTTGTGTTTTCCTTTTCAATCAAGTAAAAATATCTAACACCTCATGTGTATATACTATCGTGTTTTCATCATGATTTGCAGATTTCTGTTTTCAAATATTTAGAGAATTTTTTAAAAAAAATTATAATTGAAAGGGTTTTTTTCTTGCATAGCATGATTGCTTGGGGATTGACCCAACACTTCATCTCTCGATACTCTCCATCGATCTTTTTTCAACACATCTCTTCCTACATTCTCAATATTTTTAAATGGGTCAATAAAATTCACCACCTAATTCCCAGTTTTAACTTAAGTCTCAATAATGACTTGAGAATTAAGTTACGACTGTGAAATATTAAAGGTATAAAGTAAGCCCTCTTAAGCTGCCTGCTTACGTTATCAGCCAGAAGATATAACATATATAGCTAAAACATACTGTTGAATTGGATTCTTTAGCACTTAAAAGAGATATGTGCTTATTCTATATTTAATATAATATTATAAAATTTGATTTTCTGTTTTGTTATTCACGGCAAGTGAATAAGAAACTCAACTAAATTTTACGGTAAATTACCTTCTTTATACCCCAAGGATTTAGACAAAAAAAATTCAATTGTAAATTTGATTCTTTAAAAAAAGATATTGCGAATTTAAGACTTTGACATAATGCATAATTTATAATCTTTAAATATGTTGAAGTATAATTGCTAAAGGCGGAGACTATAGCCTGTGTAATCTATATTCGGAATTTGAAAAAGGTACGCCTCCATTTTTACTCTCTTAGTCGCTAATACTGTACCAGACGAATTTTGAACCTAATCTGTTACTCAATAATCGTTTTAAAAAGGCCGAGATTTTATAGTTGCTTTGTCTCATTGTGGACAATCTTCAATGGCTAAGCACGACTAAAATATTGGCGAAATTCAGAAAGTGATCCATGCAAATTATCGCAAGGGGTCTAAAATGTTGGGTGAAAAGGTGTACATGTCATTTTCGTTCGTTCTTTAGCAATATGACTAATCATATTCATCATTGATTAACTGGTGCCGATAAAGCTAAATTTTGTTTAAAAGGATCATAAAAAGCAATTTTCCAATAACATGATTTTCCGAACTTTTTGAACCTCATTTTCATAAAACGCATTATAACTAACAATGGGACATTGGTTTCCAATCGGATTATATAAATCAGTCAACAAACTTCGCAATGCTTTAAAAATAAAACGAACCCCAAAAACCATGTAGGATTCGCTCGAAATCTAAGGTGATGCTGACGGTTACTTTCGATTATATTAGTATATTGCACTTCAAATTCTTTCTGGAGTGACAAACGTTGAATAAAGAATACTGTTTGAAGATCAGAAGATGTATGCACTGCAATATCCGCAGAAAAAGTATAGATTCGTAGAAAGTTTATTCATTGACTGCACACTACGATAAAGCATGATTTGGGGGTCTTAAGATGTTTTCGGTGTTTAAATGGTATTTAAATTTTCTGCATTTGATCTATTACTTTTCGAACACCCCTTTAAGACCTGTAAATGTTTATTATATTTAAACTCTTATTGGATTGAAACAAAACAAATGATTTTTTATGAAAAAAAAATTTTTATTCGCAAGTCAAAATTTAACAATAAACATTATTAAATTCTAGTTTATTGGAGTACTGCATAAATAAAGTGAATGTAAGCCCAAAGACATACATAAATATATGTACGTATGGTATGCTTTAATATCTATAGGCAGGAGATTTGTTTTATTTGGTAACCAGACTCTAAAAATGAAGATACTGCAAGAGTCTCCTATAGCAAAATTTAGCAAAAGCAGCAGAGTATATAAACATTTTTTGAAAAAGATTACGGGATGATAAATCATTCTCAAGGCGGTAATGGTGTTCAATTTGCTCCATAGCTTCAACACTAACGTCTTGGTTTTCAGGTATTTCATAAATATGATCTGCAGGTGTAGCATCAAAACTATTGCTTAGCTCCGAAACTGTCTGTCGCCAACAACGATGGCTTCGTCTATGTAAGAATTTTCCACAATAAGCACATGCAGATGGAGCTTGTTTATTATAAGCACAACGCAACATATGGTTCTTTAAATGTTTAATTGCAACAACCTGCTTACATCCATCGTTAAAAAATGGGCATTTGAGAACCAACCGAGAATATTTTTTAATTTCGTCTTTCGACAATGGCACCAAGTGATGAAAATAGAAATATGTTCTACACAATGGGCACTGGTTGTGCCGCTCCATCCACTGGCAGATACAGAAACAACAAAACATGTGATCGCACATACTGATACGCACAGGATCCTCCATACAGTCCAGGCACATGGAGCATATAAAATGTTCATCCACAGTTTTAAGAAAGAGGTCGCAATCCAAACCCATTTTATGACCGTGAAATTTATTTCAGTTAATTTACGTGAAAAGAAGTCTAATAAAATAATCGTTTTTATTATTCTTATTTAGCTTAATTTTTTAAAACTAAAAAATGTCTAAAGAAATGATTTTGATTTTCAAAATTTTAATTTGATTTTCATTGCTAACTTCATTTTAAAAATTTGTTTTAGTTTTTTTTTGTTGTTTGTATACAGAGTATCCTATATCAATATACAATATCATTTACAGCACAAAAGATCAACTATGGTCGAAGTGCTCCGCTCCGTTAAGAGCCGGTACCTTGTTTATTTTTATTCTATTCTATCCTATATCAAAATAATAAAGGGTAAAGAGTATGAGAGAAACATTTTTAATATTAACCGATATGTAGGGTGTTAAAGAATGTCCACAAAAATATATTAAACAATATCAGAAAATTTTAAGTATCTTATTATTATTATTTGGATACGGGATAGTGCATAGCGACCTAAAAGATCTATTGTGCCCTTTAGCTGGTATCGAGCGTTTCTCCAAGTCCGATTTCTTAAATGAAAGAGAGTATAGAGCATCTTAATTAAGTATCTTAATTAGTAAATAATTTAAACACTATTTTTGTTTAATCGGTTCTTATAATAAAGGAAAATTTGCTTCATTTCTTCAGAAAATAACATTCTTTTGAATATTTTTGGTAAATGTTGTAACTTCGATTTTATATAATATTTTCGTATAACCTTTAAGTCATTAAATCACTTTTGAGATTTATCATGCACCAATTAGCTTCTATATTTTTCGATAAAGGTATACAAACCTCAGTCAATAAAACTAAATACTATGACTGCTATTCTGACAGGCTGGTATACAAAATTAAAGGAATTTATGGATCCTAATTTGGAATGAATTCCGAAAAATAAAAAAATTTTGATGTGCAGTAAATTCTTAGAAAATCTGACCAAAATTACAATAATTTCAAAAAAAATGTAAGTACAAAGAGTGGTTAAGTATTAAATTAAAAAATATTCAGAAATTGATGAAATCTTTTCTACTAAACATTTTTGATACTCTGTATATTGGTTAATATTATAAATGAACCCCATTTTCCACTGTTTTTGTTTTGTCATTTCTCAAAACTGTCAAATTTTTGTCATTTTTTTGTCAAGACCCTATATACACCAATATACAACTTTATAATTTCATTCGTTCCATATTATATATTGTTAAATATTTATTAAAGTAATATTTATGTAATATTAAAGTAGTATTTAAGTCGCTTAACAACAAAAACCCATTCTCTAGAACCCAAGAAAACCGAAAATAACATACTAAAAGTACGTACGTAAACAAACACCTAAAATATAGGAGCTTAATACGGAAATTATTGACTTGTTTTAACAATAGACCAGTTATTTTTTTGGGTTGGGTAAGATGTTAAGCATAGAAAAGTAGTGGGGTGATGTTGTGGCTTTTTATAATATCTTTCACCTATATTGTAAACTTTCCTATCAAACTATTTTAAAATTTTTCCAATAAAAAGAAAAATGTGAGTATCAAATCACTTTTTAAATTTTCTAATATAAACAAAAGTCTTTTTTTATATTTTAAAAATAAAATTGAATATAATATGGATCGGAAAGTTTCTATTGCAATAATTGGTATTTGCAAAATTACATAGTCTATTGAAAAATAGACGCATAATGGTACTTTATTAATTCTTGGTTCTACTAAATAAATGTCTTAACCCAAATAGATTTAATTAGTATTTTTAAAAGTTTAATACTGATATGAGTAAAAAAATTTCACACCCCAAATTAAGTAACTTTTCCTATTCTTCACTATATATATATATTTGTACGAAAACATTTTTTTATTTATATGTGAATTAAATACACATTTACATACATTACCTCAATAATTATTAGTAAGTTCCAGATTTTGCACGAGACCACAAGTGACTAGTAAAAGCAATATTCCCCAAAATATCGATAAGTACCAAAAATTGAACAGCACAGTAAAAATAGAAATGATTGTCGTACAAAATAAATTTTTAAAAGTTTTATTATGATATAAACAAATAATATTGTCATGGCCAACTATGATACTTTTAAATTGTTGAATTTTAAATATAAGAATTTTTTTTTAAATAGAGATATACTATTCTAGTAAGAAAAACTATAATTTTTAAGTTTCAGTTATTACCATAATGTTTGAAGATAAAGGATAAGGAGACACAGGTATGTGTCCTATTATCTGACAGGACTGCTAGATAGCTGTGGTCGCTTCCATCAACTAAAAAGCCGAATCTCCTCCAACATGTCATTAGTTGATAGTTAGTTGATAATTAATCTGACAACTAGCACGATTTTTTTATTAAGTAATGCTTAAAAAATCATTATACAAAATCTTTCGATCGATCCTGATATTTCCTATTGTTATAGATAACAATAACTGATTTAGATTGTGTTAGTCAACGTAGTCGACCTGAGGCCTTCGCTTTTGTTTTTTTCGGCGTTAAACTCTCTTTGAGATAATGCAGGTACGATTTGGTACCAACGTCACTCAGACCTGTTGTTTTTCTAGCATCATCGAATGAATGTCCTGAATGTCCGTTCAGTACTGGGCGAAGTTTGTGCGTTGGCTTCCTTAGGTGCCCACAACTTTATGTCTTTCCTTCTAACCAAATTTCATTTCCTTGGGTCCTTTGCCTTTCTTCCATTCTTGTGTCCTCTGTGTAGAAGTTAAAGATTGCCGTTCAATATTTCGGATATAGGAAGCCATCTCAGTCACCAATTGAGTTGCAGTTTGAAAACCTGCTTGTTTACTTATGTGTTTTATAAGATCCATTAATAATCCCTCTCGAACACGGTAAGCCCATATTTACTCAATGATGCGGGCAAGTACCAGTTAGACACACACTAGAAGACAGTATGTTAACCCCGACTGCAAACAACTATCCGATGGACACGTATTATCCCGGATTAGGGTGATTTACAATTTACTCTGGCATGTGTTCTATGGTCTGCATGCTCGATGATGCATTCCAGAAGCTGCTTAGATCACATTTGGGTTCAATGCTCATCTGACATCTTCCCGGAATGTGTGGCCTAGACCTAGTATACTGTACTAGGCCATTTTACTATAATTATATTTATTATTTTAAAACTTGCTGCTTTGTAAGTATCAGATCAAATTATTTTTAATTTATACCTTCTGCTCAAAAAGTATCCGGATTTTGTTGTGTCTTAACTCCTCCTTAAGTAATAGACCATTTTCAAAAATTTTTTGTTATGTTGTTATACTCTTTCTTGGTACAAATTTGAGCACCACCTGTCAATTAGTTTGTTTACAACAGCTGTTAATGTGAGACTACCTCATGTGCATTTACCGATTTTTGCTATGTAAAATTCTTGTTGTACGCGATTCCACTGTCATCGCTCAGGCAACATATTCCCCAGATCTGGATCCGTGAGACTTTTTCCTGTTCCTGAAACTCAAACTGCCCCTTCGTGGTAGGCGTTTTGAGTCGATTGTATCAGTAAAAGAGAATTCGCCGGAGGAACTAAAAGCCATACCTTCACGGGCCTACGAAAAGTGTATGGAAGATTGGGTTAAGCGTTGGCATATGTGTATCGCTTCAGAAGGAGCATATTTTGAAGGAGATAAAATAAATTTGGAATAAAATTTAAATTTGTGTGTTTTATTTACAAAATCCGAGTACTTTTTAAGCAGAAGGTAGTCTTTAATTTATAGGTTTATATACATATAAATACATGTTAGCTAATTTGATTTTATTTTACCTATTAAGTATTTCTTAAAATTACTTATGTATACAAACATTTTCTATAACGTGATGACGTTTATCTGAGCTTAAGAATATATATTTTTTATTCAAACAGAGTGAAATCCGATCAAAATTAGTAACATATGCATTATAATATTCATATCGATTCGCTTGAAACGACCTTCAAACGATTTTCCTCATATGTGTTTACCTATTTAAGTATTCATATCTCTAATTATAAATACGTATAAACAAACACCTTTGGTTATTGACACAAAGATTATTCATGGAATGCATTCTGCATTAATAAACAGCATACACACGTTATAAGTATTTATAGTAGCCCGTATATATATGGTATATATCACATAAACAATTTTTATAAAAAAGTATAACCTGAAACAACTAAAACAACTAAAAAACTGTAACGAAATATCGATTGCTTTCATGCGTTTAATAGATACATTTGTACTTATGTGTTAAGTAAGTTGAATAGGCAATGTAGCTCACATTAAAAAGATACCCGTATGAATAAATGCAGTCAATGTAATTTTAGACGAAATGATACAGCCAAAAAGCATACGCATCATTTATCATGAAGAGAGCATTCTGATGTTCATGAAGGCTGATATGTGATTATGTGCCAGTTATATTCCACAGGGTCAAAAGAGCAATATCGTTTTACAGCCTTAGATATATGACTGAATAATTTTATAATTGGTGAAATGCTATATAACAGCAGAACGAATAATGTGAACTACAAGTTAAATGAAACACATTTTCATGTTTATATAATTGAAAAAAATATAAAAAAAAATTCTATTACTTCATAGGGTCAAAATTTTACAATTCTGTAACATATATTAAAAGTAACATTAAATATAAACTAAGTGTTAAGAAGAGTACAGCTTTAAATTTTATACGATTAGTTCGAAGGTTCACACATTCTTATATTCAAGTATGCTTGCGTTACCCGAAAATGCTTGACCATCGAGCATTTGCTATCATAAATTATTATATAAAAGAAACCTAAAATAAAATAGAACATATAGTAGATCAATAGTTCAAACACCTCGAATTGCTTAGATATACTGCTGAAACATGATCTGCATCTCAAATATATGTATAAAAATCAAAAGTTCTAAAAAACAAAGTGTATTACTCCTCCCTCTCCTTTAGAACGTAATAGTGAACGAGACTGGAAAAGGGGAGCTGCATAGTTATTGCAAGCACAAGTGATATTGTCTCCATGACTACCGGAAAATATCCTATTGCTGTGGGATATTTTGAAACGATATTTCACAAAATGGTTAAACATTCTAAAACCAGTGGATAGCAAAATATGAAATTAAGATAAATCCTAATAAAACTGAACTTGTACTTATTACTGGGAAACGTAGAATGTCAATCTTTCCATTCTTATTTAACGAAGCTATAAGCCACAACTTCTGAACTGGAAGAGAGTAGCAGAAGATAAGGACAGATGGAGGCAGATCGTGAGGGAGGCCAAGGTTCATACTGGATTGTAGTGCGAAATAATAAGAAGATGAGCCACAATTTACTTGGAACGCAAAATTTTTAAGTGTTAACATTAATTTTTAGTATTGTTTTAATGGGAAAGAAAATACCTGTTAAGAAAAATTTTATTGGTTCAGGATTAGAACTAATGCTTTTACAGTTTACGATTGAATTTAGATAATAATATGGCACTTAACAGGGTACAGCTTCAAGCTGAACTCTGTATTAGTTGTACCCTGACCGCAACATCACTATATTAAACGCAATACTTCACCTAATAACGGTTAATATCATAAAAAGAACTTATAGCTAAAGTTTCATTGTTAATCTTATCAGTTTCATTTCCGGAAACATTAACTACACCTTTCCTACACTTAATTTCAACAAGAAACTCTTTGTTAGTATTCGATCTAGACGCGCCTGGCTGTTGCTCTCATTGAGAACGATCTAGATATCTAGATTTAGATCTAAGAGATAAGCATACCACTAGTGTCATGCAAACAGTTGTTGAATTTTTTTTATATTGAGCAATTCAAGACAAAACGGACATATTCAACAAAAACATCTACAAACATCTATTTAAATTAAATGTCCTGTAAAGAGAATGTGTCTAGCCTTAGAGGACATGCTGACAGTCGAGTGTAAGTTAGGAAACCATGACGATAGATTAAATCTACTCTTCAATGATTTTTGGCGTAGCTGTGAAGAGGCCGAACATCTGCTTTGACACTATTTAAAGCAACGTTGGCTGTTGGCTAAAAACACTAGTGACTTAGTATTTAGAATATCTTAGTCAGCTGCAAAATCTGTCCTAAAATAGCATATTCAGCTTTTTTAAAGTTTCGAAATGGTTATCAGCCCTTCGATTTTTATACGGTAACTTAGTGGGTCATAGATTCTTAGGATAACTAAACAGTTTTAGAATATAATTGTGAATTAGCATTTAGGTGTATGAGTTTTATTGATTATATACGTAGACATAATACATTTATTTTTTTCATCCCGAGTCTTATTTCGAAAAATAAAAAAATTACTAATTGGAAGGTGCCGAATGTTTTTCTAACCGCGTGAAAAATCACCTAAATGTTTTTGTTTTTGATAATGTTTAATAGTTTTTAGTTTATTGGTACATCGCATATTATTTACAATTACGATAATAAACCAAAACTTAGTGAAAAGTATTTTTTGAATAATTTTTGTAAACAATCCTCATAAAAGGTTATATCTATAACCGAGAAAAAAATATTGCCGTAATCACCACTACTGCAAAAAAAAAAACAATTCTATTTGCTGTGTATTTTATGAGTATATAAATTTGACAATGCATATAAAAATAGTACAATTTAACGCAATATAATAAAATATATGATATGGATATAATAGAGTAATATTACAATTGTTGTCAGCTCATTTGATTTAGTCAACATTTTTGCAAACAAATGACAAAACTTCCACATGAAAGAAGCCGAGTTGCAATGGATCTAATGTCTGTTTCACTTTTATACAATTAAGATACTTTTATATATACTGAACATCAATGCAAATAAAATCATTTTAGTGGAAAATATTTATTTTCTAATTTTATAAACTTTTCAAGCAATTTATTTTTAAATATTCATATTTTACCTCTTCAATATTCACAGCAGTGACGTGATTTGTGATTAAATCCCATGTGTGACATGAATGCAAATAATTCAACATTTTAATAAAATATTTAATTTGA